CCATCCTGAAAAGTTACAGTCTTTTCTTCTCGCTACTGTTATGTATGAATTAGAAATTTTTGATTAATATTTTTTGTAGTAATTCTATATTTGTTTATACCTAAGCAATCAAGAATAAATAATAGCATCGTTTTAATAAAAAGAGCAAAATTTTTGCATTTTATCATGACTAGTTAAGGCTGCAGAACTCTGTACAAACTTTGCATTTTATAAATTTCTTTTATCCGATTACTCGATTAATCGTAAGAATAATCGATAGATTACTCGATTACTAAAATATTCGTTTACAACAGCCCTACACACAATACCAACATGTTTCCTCCATCCCTGGCAGTGGTGCCACCAGGGGGTGGCCACCCCACTGGCCACCCCCGCCACCCAGTGTAAATTGTAGTAGCATCAGTGTAACATTTAATCCCATTATGCACAGCCAGCGACATAACAATTAAAATCACACAATAAACCAAGATCTGAGTAGGTGTTTACTTTAGTCTTTATGATTTCTACAGGCAGGTTTACCACAATAGTAGATTTAAACTCTGAAATTATGGCTTTTAGTTTCAGTGGCCACCCCAAGGATTTTAGTGGCCCCATCTGGCCCCCCCTATGAAACCTTTCTGGAGGCGCCACTGATCCCTGGTAGGAAAAAGCATTTATGTGCTTAAATCATACCGGTCCCAACACTTATTCTCCGGCCGAAGCTCCTACCTGTGACAGTAAATAACTCAGGGAGCTCAACAAGTAATCCAATGTTAACAATCTAAATGATGCATGCAGTATATATAGCCCTTCCTTGTCATGCTAATCCTTGTGACGGTTGGCATTTGGTGTAATTTTCTATTTCTTCAAACTGTAAAATCCTATTTCTTGAAACAAACAAAATTATAATAAAACTAAAATGCTTTCCTTAAACCAAAATACGATGTTCCTCTTATATTTGCCGAATTTATGAATGTATTATGAATATTTAGCCAAAATATGTTGCGGTGCATGATGGGGTTTAGCATCTAAAGGCTAACGTTTCCCGTCTTATATGCATTGTTGCCAGGTTGGGATGTTTCCCAATCTTGCAGTTTAGGATGGCCGTCTATCGGTTACATTTTTTTTTAACCGATATCAATAGACTTTGGTTCAAATTGGGTGAGATTTTGTATATTTAGGCGGTTTATGAAAATTTTTTTTGGGATCCATGAAAAAATGAAAAATGCGAGGCCCAAAAATCCTTCCCGGTCCGAGCCTGCCCTAACCCTACAGCTGAACAAACACTAGACCACTATGATGTTCCAGATCCAGGTCTGGATCAGCATCTCTGGTGGTTTTATTATTAAAAGCTGCACCAGACTGTCATTTTCTCCTGCCTAAACATTCCTGTTGACACCTGTCTCATTCTGGGTCTCATCAGGACCGAGTGCTGCTCATTATGGAGAGCGGCGTTGCTTCAGCACCTCTTCACTGGGAACCAGGATTAATGATTGGACCAGAGCCTCCGTCATGAATACGGATGGAAACCTGCCCGTTAACTTTCAGAGCTAATGACGCACCTAACATGCTCACCAGGGAACAACGTCGCCTCTCTGATCCGAGAGCAGCCGCTGCAAACTAATGAGTTTTATTTCCTGCCGCGCTGATATCGGATCAGAACAAACCGTACATTCTGCCAAGGCGTAGGGGATATCTGACATCAGCTCCAAATATGAGCCGAGAGATAAGGAGAGGAAAATAGCAGGACCTTCTCATTGGTCTGGATCTGGTGCTTCCAAGGCAGGAAACAAGAGGTCAGCAGGAAGCTGCCAGACTGATGTACCAACCCTCCTTCCTGAGACTTTGAAGGATGGGTGGATAGATGGATGGCGGGTCTCAAGGATGGACGCGTCTTAAAAGAAGCTGTAATTCCAGCCGCATTTTAAAAATTCAGGCAGAAAACGAGAACAGGAATAATTTAAATAAATTTGCAAGAAAGACCAAAGCCTGAGTGGCAGTAAGTTAAAAGCAAGCGGAACATCAGAAACAACGTCGACACCAGGAATGAAAATCACTCCATGATGGAGCTCAGAATCTATCCCCGTCGCTGAAACGCAGAATAACAGACGTAAAGAAGAAAACATGTAAAGAGAACCTAACATTTGGCTGTGACTCCATCCTGGAGAGAAATATCAGCTGTGCTGCTGCCATCAACACCTTTGTTTCTAGATGTTGGAGCTTGGCCTGTTTTCCAGTGTAGTCCTGTTTCTCTGACTGTGACTAACTGGATGTGCTCACTTCATCCTCTGACATGGGAGCTGGCTCGGAGCTCGTCTGCCTGGCTGTGTTTTCCTCTCCACTGTCGCTACAAGCATGCTTAGTTTTGCAGTTCTATGGTAGTAGAACAAAAGGCAAGGTTCTGGGGAATTGTCAACTGCCCAAGGAGAAAGTTTTGATCAAATGCTAACAGCTTTAAAGATAATTAGAAATCAAATACTGGAAAATTAGCTCAAACAAAGTCCTCTTCTTCTCCATAAAATAAAATAAATGTAATCTAACAAAAACTTCCAACTGTTTTTAATATTCTTTTTTTGTTTCTGCATTTTTTATTTTATTTTATTTATTTATTTATTTATTTATTTATTTATTATTTATTTATTTTTTCCTACTTGCTTTGATTCTGTTTTATCTTCCTGTATTTTAATCATGTAAAGTATTTTAAAATGTCTTTGTACTGAATTGTGCTATACAAATAAATTTGCCTTGCCTTGCCTTGCTTAGTGTGAGGGATTGCTGAAGAGTCAATGAGTCGATGCAATCAGCTGCTTTTCCTTAGATAGAAAACTTTTAATCAATCTGACTGGATGTTCTGGTTAAACTGGAAAGTGACCTGAGATGAAATGTGAACATATAAGAACATGAGAATATAAGATTGAACATATAAGATTTAGAGCTTCATGAAGCGGACACCAGGTACATCTGTTTTGACACGATCTCTGAGAACATCCTCAGATCAATCCAAAGCTCTAAAAGTGAGGTTTAAAGAGTCTTTACAGAACTGACAGACCTCTCAGGTTAATATAAACTCCAGAGTTCCTAGTAAAGAGCCCAGAGGAACGCTAAAACCACTCCAACCTGCAGCGCTACAGCTCTGATACCATCTGATTTTCATCTGATGTCTTCAACCTGGTTTCTGATTTAAAGGATCCTGAAGCTGATGAGGTGCTCAACCAAAGCGAAAGGGGTCAGTCATGGGATCATAGAGGAATCAGGTAGGAACATCTGGTCACTCACCATTAAAGGTTTGATTCCACATCCTCTTTGTGACGTTTTTCCCCGGTGGTCGGACTCCAGAAGTCGACATGGTTTCATTGAGGGCGTGAGCGTAAAGCATGACCCCGTCATAAAATCCTCCAGCAATGATGTTCATCTGGGAAAAAACACAAACAGGAAGTCATCCCAACGAGAAAACCGCTTCACATCTACTTGAGGATCCGTCCTCATCAGGTTCTGTCCCAGTAGGGAGTCGTTATAAAAATAGAAGGTCATGATATTATATACAAAAAAAGGTTGTTTTAATGAGACCAAATCTTTGATAGAGATAACAAGATAGATCACCAAAACGCAGACTGAGAGGAGCATTTTCACTCAGGGGGACGAACAGCTCTTTGACCTCCTAATGTGGGATTATTTTTTTTATATTACAACTTTCCTCTCATCATGTTATGACTTTATTCTGGTAATATTGCAGGTTTAATTTAGCAAATTTTCAACTATACTGTAATACAACTTTAGTCTCGTAATGTTCCGACTTTAATTTGGTAATGTTACAGCTTTGTTTTTGTAGATCTATCATTATAATATTTCTGTTGTTATCTTTTTAATTCAATTCAGTTTATTTATATAACGCCAAATTCACAACATGTCATCTCAAGGCACTTTACAGTTCAACCAGATCATACAGTCAAATTAATTCAAAGTTTTCTATCTAAGGAAAACCAG